TGATATGGAAACTCACCCAATCTGGCAAAACAAAGTGTAGTGGAGTGAAAGTCATAAGTTCCCAAAACAATAATTATTACTGTAATATTACACTAAAATATGACTGTGCTGTCATAAAATACTGTATGTGATGAAGACTGGTGCTGCTCTGTGAAGCAGCTCTGATCTTATTTATATAAACCTGGAGCGTATTATTGATAATTGTTGTTTTGATTTACTAAATATGTCCTATAAATAAAAGTTTGGTTACATCTGTCATTAATCACGTCTGTTTCCTGCCCTAGTCCTGTCGCAGTAAATTATCTCCTAATTGTTTCTCCCCTCCCTTCTCAGCCAACCTCAATCAACGTCATGCCTCTCACCTGTGATCAGCAGTATTTAAGCTCCTCTCATCCACAGCTCCAGCTTCATGTGGCACATTCTCTAAAAAACACTGCTTTCACATGAATCAGGTCCTTTTCAAAAGACTTGAGTTGAAACAGTTCAACACCAGTGTGACGTAACGAGGCCTTGTTCAGAGTAGTCACATGATCATGAGTGTGTTGAAGCTGCGCTCAGAACACCATCTGGAACAATTCTGCTTCATTTGCTTGAAACAGTGTCGAGCYTAACCTCACTAGTGATGGGCCGATGAGGCATCATGAAGCGTTTCAACACATTGCCAAACTGAATTGATACTGTGTCGATATTGTGTCACTGAATACTGACACCTACAGGACCTTAAAAATCACTACAGGCAACCTAGTTGACAGACTCAACTGACACTGATTTAACAACTTATCTTCATTTAAATTTCAACTATCTGTGATATTTTTAGACACAGTTCAGAAATAATGTGAACATAACATGAAAATCTTAAGTGAACGTGTTGTGAATGAGGATGCCTGTAGACTGGAGGTTTTGTTCCTACAAATTTTTATTAAAAAAAAAGGTTTTTACAATGTTTTGAAATTGAGTCTTTTATGCATAATTCAAAGAACTTAGAGACAATAGGATTTGGACAGTTTCTGTAAAGAGTTATTTATGAGTTTACAGAGAAATTTCAGACTGAAGCTGAC